AAGTCGTTGACCGAGCTTCAACGCAACTTCTTTGGCCTCTTTCAAAAATGTGGCCGACTCACTCTTGTTGTCTGTGATCTGGGACAAATAAGCTTTCAGCAAAAGCAGTCTGAAAAACGACGAAAGAGAAAAATTTACGAATGACCTTATAATTGTAAGGTTAATAAACCTCGGTGTACCACCCCAAGTGTCGAGCCTCGGTGAAACTCTCTGTATGTTGAATTATTTCCAAGTTCCGGTCAGACTTCCGGTAGAAAAAATGCATTAAAAACCTCCGATTCCTCAACAATTGGCACAGTGACAACTTGCACAGTCTGACAACTCGCATAGTTTGTTTTTCTTCATAAACTTGTGCTGTTTTATTTATAGGTTCAGGTAAATATGTATTTTTTGCATTTAGATTCTCTTTTGTCCTCTATGCATCTATTGTATGGATTTTTCATTTTCTAAATTAACAAAATGAGGCTTGAGAACATAAAGAATGTCAAGATAAATTTGTCCATGAAAATCTCTCTGCTTTTTTGGCATGGAGAAACAGGATTCTGTTCATCCTCAATTTTTTTTCAAAGAATGTTTGTGTGATGTTCAGAATAGGGAAACAAAATCCCACAGATTTAATTTCAGCATCCTGCAATGCTATACTGAGTAATTTTTGTGTGCCTGCATGGAGGTTGTTTGGATGGGTAAGCTAATCCCTTAGCAGGGCAGTCAGGAGCATTCCCATTTTATCAGATGGAAGCAAGTACCCAATGTTTTCACTTTTCAATTCATCTAATCTTCAAAATCCGAGGACTCCACCTTCTCTAAACATCATCTCATCAGTTATATACTCAGGGATATTCATCATTTGACTAACTTCATGAGAATGATTTCTCCATGCATCAAAATTATCCTTGACTAGAATGAAAACACAATTATTGAAGAAAAAATTGGGGATGAGCAGAATCCTGTTCCTCCATGCCAAGAAAACCAGAGAAATTTTCATGGACAAAGTTATCATGGCATTTTTATGTTCTCATGCCCCATTTTGTAATTTTAGAAAACCTAGAAGCAAAAAATATACATATTTGCCTGAACCTATATTCAAAACAACAAAATCTTAGTAGGCAAAAAAAGAAATGTGCAAGTTGTTGCTCTGTTCAAGTTATCCCACTGAGCCAGTTTGTAGCTGTGCGACTTGTCCCATAACCAAAACCTCCCCCTTAAATCTCCACACTTAAAATTTTCTGGTGGTCTTTTGACTAATATTTTATTCACAAAAGAAAGAGAAAAGCAATACACATGTAATTGATGTGTTTTGAAAGGAAGCAGGAGAATATGCAGCAAGGAACCCTTGCCTCCAAGTTCAGCATTGTGTCAACTCATTTATTCTGCAGTTGAAGGTTAAAAAAACCACACATATTATTATCCTATAATTTTTTATGCTTACGTTCAGAAAAATACATATGTTTTCCTAATGACTCGAATTTTTTGCTGGTCCCCAATTGGAGTTCGATTGGAAGAGGTTTGACTGCATTGTATTATAAATTATCCATCGTTATATTCAATGCGGTATTTTTTTCTGGCGTAAGACTCACTTGCAATTTGTTGTCGGCATTGTACTCCAAAATAAGCCCAGTTTTTGCATACCATCTTCAACCCGTCCTCGGCAAATTTCGTAGTTATGCCAGTCGCGATTTTCCAAATGTTCACTCAACGTTATGAGATCCACCTCTATGAGGAAGGTGTAATAGTCGGAGATTGTGTGAGTGAAGATGAGTCTTGCCAGTCTCAAACGACGCTTCGCAGCCTGAATACAAATTTCATGCATTCAAATTGTTTTTTTTTATGCTGCGTTATTGACGACCCCAACTGCATAATGTTGTTTCCAATTTCGTATGTGTTTTTTGTTGTTGTTTCAAGTTGTGGAACATGAATAAGTTAGGTTATGCTGGTAAGCATAGTGCCTAGCTTAGAGATGAGTGTTATCTAATAAATCATCATGAAGCTATAATAAGATCGACCTGTTACTCATAGGTAGAATCTTTTTGAAATTACTTGAATTCTTGTGTGTATCTGTGTCTTCATCAAGGCCTATTGTATGCCTCAATACTGCAGAATAATGAATGTTTATTTTACCTTATTTCTGGTCCTCGGTGGATTTGTTGAAGTTCGATTTGGATTCATTTTTATTCTTGATTAATTCATCATTTCTGTCTGTCACTGGTCGAAGTGACAATAAAGGGAAGAATAACTGTGACGCCATCCGAAATCGACGTTTCAAGGATTTCAGTCTTGGTAAACCAAATGTTTGATGTTATCTTTCATATCACATGGCTTTTCAATACTGGCTTATTCAATTGACGATTTGGTACTTATTTTGAAAATTTTAAGGGATAAACGGACTAAATGTATTTTATTGACCGCTGCGGTAAATTTTACGAAAAAATTGAAGACGTAATGGATCGGACTGAAAAGGAACCAGCATTGCTGTGTATTGGCAGATTTGGCACTCACTTTATAATACAAGCTGGCAAGTCGATGTTTCTTGTTTCGCTTGTGCCACAAGCAAATTGCACTGAGACACAAGTAATGCAAAAATGAATTGCCGAAAGTCCCGGGGTCCTTGAGGTAATCTTGAACTTTGCTAAGGAAGTACGGGATTGGTTCCCAGCAAAGTCCTGCAAATTGAATAAAGTAAAATTTTGGAAAATTCTCCAAACAAATAACGAAAAGCGCAAATAACGAAAAAATTGAGAAAATGATCAGGTATTGCGAAATTACACAAACGAATTTCTAAAAAGCTTTCCGATGCCTTTTATTTCGTTTTCTCCAGTAAAAAGCAGAAGAACGTGATCCCTTCTTTGATAATTATTAAAGTTGAATAAAATTATCCTTGTATTTCTGCTGTAGGAATTCCCTTGAGCTCAAAAACAATGAGGGTCGACATTCAAGAGACACGTTTCAAAATGCAATTTTTTAATAACATTTATAATCCTTTATGAATAGGCGGAACTTGAATACAAGTCGATATATGTTGGAGGATATTCTGATAAACAAAACAAATAAATTTTTCCTAAATTGCATGAGTATACAAGCAAAATATACGCATTGTTGAGCCTAGGTCATCATGCTATTCCTTTGTATACTTCTGTATCACTTGAACGTGGGAAAGAAACCCACTAGACCTTTCAAAAAATCTTAAAAGAGTGAGATGGAATTCCGACCAAGGACCGAAACACTTAACTAATTAAATTCTCGTAATTTTCATGATGATGCAGGCATCCAAGCAAGATAATTCCGAGAAAGCAGAACAACGCCATGATCCGGAAAAGGACCCGCGAGTTCACTTGCCCTAATGAAAATATTTGAGCTCATCTGAACTTTGCGTGCCGAAAATGAAGTAATGCTTTCTTCTTGCATAATAGCAGCCAAGTTATTCCCGCTTTTTGCTTAATTTTTTTTTTTACTAATTACGAGCAGCGTCGGTGAACTTGGGTGAACCATATAACATTATTAATACGGTATAATCGATATCGGCTCTGGGAATTACGTAAGGCGAAAACTATTTTTTTTTCATTGTTACTGTATAAGTGTATAGTATATAGAGCAAGGAAAAAAAGTAGAAATCGGCTCGTTGAAATTTTCTATAAAGAATGTTGCGTACTTTTGGAATAACTAGAATATATCGCAAGTTGTTTCTCGAATTCTTCGTATAACTCGAATTCTGGAGGCCTTTGGGGTATTATTACAGTATTCTAGGTACGCAGAAAATAAATAAAAAATTTATGGCAATTTGAAATACTGGCAATACTTTTGAAAAGGAATAAGTGTGTGAAAAATTGAGTGAATGAATCCTTTCGTCCAAGTTCAGCATCCTGTTAACTCATTTATTCAGCAAATTAAACCCCATGAAGATCACAAATTTCAATTCCCTCTAATTATGTATTTCTATCTCTAACAAAAATAATAGTTTCCTTAACTCGATTCTTTGCTGATCCATTGAATTTTGAGTTGAAGAGGTTCAACTGTATTTTTTTTAAACCACATTTACAGTAGCTCAAAATGTTCTCAAAGTTTATGTGTTGATTATATTTTGTTTCAATTGGAAATTTTGGACCAATTTCAGCACAAAAAAGCGCACATGGTCGACTTTTTTTTAAAGATTATTTGAATTCAGATTTGCTTCATGTATAAATTGAAAATTGGGCTTTTTTTAAATCTTGCCGTTTTAGAGGCACGGAAAATGGGGTGCGTGTCTTACTGGGGAATAACATTTTATCAATTTTTTTTTTAAACTGGAAAACCCCTGGTGCGTGTCTTACACCAGGGCAAATGGTTTAGGAGTAAATGCGGGTATTCCAGGGATAAAGTGCATGCATTTCCTTATTCATGCTAGCATAACTGTTATGTAAGTGAAAATGATGGTTATACTCACCCATTTCCAACAGAGCGCTGAGGCAGAACAAATAGTAGGTGATCCGGTTGGGCGAGATGAGCGGCAATCCGGCAGTGAGGGATTTGTATTGAAAAACTTCGTCGAACATCCTCTTGAGTTCGTAGGAGGATGTGAGGCATCTGATGGAAGACCGCAGCAGCTGAAAGAAGACAAAGTATCTGTTGCCCACGTACTATATACTGTATATGCGAGGGTTCTAACGAAATGTTCTCGGAATGTAAATTGAAGTGGCACGTGATCCAGCTGAAAAACAATTATTGTTCAGAAGAAAAAAACAATTCAGCCTTGTTTGACGGAAAATTTCCATCAGAAACTTTCCTTGACAGCGTTTTGCTCTTCAATGATAATATGATGCCCCCATCTCGCATATCTCACGGCCTACCCCAGCTTTCCATTTAGAATTGCTAAAATTGGCGCGGCATAAATTGCAAGGATTGATGCCATTAATTGACTNGTTTCAACCATCCCAGAAATTACACAATATATTGTACAACATTTCTTGTACCTTTTTCCTTTGTGGCCCGCATAATGCTCTATTATTTAAATGTGGCCCTTGGCCACTTCTGAGTTGGGCACCACTGCACTAGACCTTTCAAAAAATCTTAAAAGAGTGAGATGGAATTCCGACCAAGGACCGAAACACTTAACTAATTAAATTCGCGTAATTTTCATGATGATGCAGGCATCCAAGCAAGATAATTCCGAGAAAGCAGAACAACGCCATGATCCGGAAAAGGACCCGCGAGTTCACTTGCCCTAATGAAAATATTCGAGCTCATCTGAACTTTGCGTGCCGAAAATGAAGTAATGCTTTCTTCTTGCATAATAGCAGCCAAGTTATTCCCGCTTTTTGCTTAATTTTTTTTTAATAATTACGAGCAACGTCGGTGAACTTGGGTGAACCATATAACATTATTTATACGGTATAATCGATTTCGGCTCTGGGAATTGCGTAAGGCGTAAACTATTTTTTTTTCATTGTTACTGTATAGTATATAGACTATAGAGCAAGAAAAAAAACGTAGAAATCCCGATGGAAACGGTTCGCTGAAAATTTTTTTAAAGGGTGTCGCATAATTTTGGAATAACTAGAATACATCGCAAGTTGTTTCTCGAAATCTTCGTATAACTCGAATTCTGGAGGCCTTTGGGGTATTATTACAGTATTCAAGGTACGGAGGAAATAAAAAAAAAGCGATGGCAATTTTCCATGATACTTTTCAAAAGGAATAATTGAGTGAAAATTTGAGTGAATGAATCTGCGTCCAAATTCGGCATCCGGTCAACTCATTTATTCAGCAAATGAAACCCCATGAAGATCACAAATTTCAATTCCCTCTAATTACGTATTTCTATCTCTATAAAAATCATAGTTTCCTTAACTCGATTCTTTGCTGATCCATTGAAGTTTGAGTTGAAGAGGTTCAACTGTATTTTTTAAACCTCATTTACGGTAGGTCAAAATGTTCTCAAAGTTTATGTGTTGATTATATTTTGTTTTAATTGGAAATTTTGGACCAATTTTAGCGCAAAAAAACACATGTAGTCGAATTTTTTTCAAAGATTAGTTGAATTCAGGTTTGCTGCATGTATAAATTGAAAAATGGGCATTTTTATTTTTGAAATCTTGCCGTTTTAGAGGCACTGGAAATGGGGTGCGTGTCTTACTGGGGAATAACATTCTATCAATTTTTTTAAACTGGAAAACCCCTGGTGCGTGTCTTACACCAGGGCACGTGGTTTAGGAGTAAATGCGGGTATTCCAGGGATAAAGTGCATGCATTTCCTTATTCATGCTAGCATAACTGTTATGTAAGTGAAAATGATGGTTATACTCACCCATTTCCAACAGAGCGCTGAGGCAATGGTTTAGGAGTAAATGCGGGTATTCCAGGGATAAAGTGCATGCATTTCCTTATTCATGCTAGCATAACTGTTATGTAAGTGAAAATGATGGTTATACTCACCCATTTCCAACAGAGCGCTGAGGCAGAACAAATAGTAGGTGATCCGGTTGGGCGAGATGAGCGGCAATCCGGCAGTGAGGGATTTGTATTGAAAAACTTCGTCGAACATCCTCTTGAGTTCGTAGGAGGATGTGAGGCATCTGATGGAAGACCGCAGCAGCTGAAAGAAGACAAAGTATCTGTTGCCCACGTACTATATACTGTATATGCGAGGGTTCTAACGAAATGTTCTCGGGATGTAAATTGAAACGGCACGTGATTGAGCTGAAAAACAATTATTGTTCAGAAGAAAAAAACAATTCAGCCTTGTTTTACGGAAAATTTCCATCAGAAACTTTCCTTGGCAGCGTTTTGCTCTTCAATGAAAATATGATGCCCCCATCTCGCATATCTCACGGCCTACCCCAGCTTTCCATTTAGAATTGCTAAAATTGGCGCGGCATAAATTGCAAGGATTGATGCCATTAATTGAGAAAATTCAGACGGTAAAGGTAATTGTCGGCGGAGGAGTCGACAGTGAATACCCCACTCGTGCACCGTCGTCCCTTCCGTCCACACTTGTTTTTATCGCTTTATTGGAGCCGTCTGGACCTCCGTTGTGTTGGATAAATGCCACGTCAATTTCAATAAGTTTGGGTTGCACTAAAAATCTGCAAGATGGTGAACTTATCTTTTGAGTGAACAACAGAAAACTGCTATGTATGGTGACTTTTGCAAGAACAAGATTATTGGATGTCGAACATTGTTGAATTTATCCTCTTGTCCCGAAGAATGATTTTTTTCTTTCAATAATTTGTTTTCAGCTCAATCACATGCTGTTTCAATTTATATCCCAAGAACTTTTGTTAAAGCCCCTTGTATATATGCATACACACACACACACGCACATCCCGCACTTCCTGTATCAACGACAGAGGAAACCCACACACAAGAAAGCCCTCCTCCATTGAAACAGGGATGGGATTCTATGCCGGATGAATGTTCCATGTGAGACATTCACTCCTGTATTGCATTTTCTCTGCGGCCAAATGGATCCCTTATTTTGGCAAAAGTTCACTTTCTGCTAGTTCTATACTCTACATGTAGTGGATTGCTGCCTGGCCAAGCAGACCCGTTCGTGGAATTAGTTTCTTTACGCGACATTCTTGTGATTTGAAACTCAATTTCCAAATGCGGTAAAAGTATTTTGCCAAATCTAGAATCTGACCAAACTTCCGTATGGTAGACCCTGAATTTTTTTTTTTTTATTTCTTCTGGTTATTATTCACAATTTTGAGTGCAAAATGTATGATTATTAGTGGAATAAACTCGACAAAGTTTAAGCTCTCGAATGCCTGGAATGTACACATTTTAAAGCTAAAAGAAAAAGGAAATTGGAATTTATAAATTTTCTTGGTTTAATCGGAGGAAATTCAGAAGCTTCTACTCAAAAAGAGCTAAAAATCCATGCCTTTTTCGTCGAGGAATTTTTGTAGCATGAATCTTGCTTGCGTTTATTAGCATTTTGAAAAAACGTGAAAATCTGCGTTTCCCCTCATTCTGAGTACCCCGAAAATGTTCCTTGTCCATGGTTCCAGTTTTACTTGTTGTGCGGTATTTTAAAATCAAATCTTCATTTCAGTCGACTTTAAAAGTACAGGAATATCAATTCACGGATTCATGAAGTTCAAAAAGGAAGTAAATTGTGAGAAACGTGTGTCAACATTGATTACGTTGGATGTACTGTACATTAGGCTCAAGTCTGACTCGGCAAATCGTTTTTCTTTAATCTCATGACGCGTTTTTTTTAGTTGCCTGTAAAACGCTCGGTAAAGCTAAAGCGTCCTAAAGACTCTTTGATGCGGCACTTTGGTCGCGCAGCAAGAGCAAGGGTTTGGTGGTCTACTAAATTGCACTGTACAGAGTTGACAGAAGTTGTATAAGCCCTTTGATCTTCATGTGAAGTAGATCTGAATTTACTCTCCACTGATTTCAAATTACCGTACATTCCAGAAATTCTCTACTCCCAATGATAAGCCCTCTAAAAACGGAAGAAGGATCGAATTTCGGAGATACCCACTGCGGCCTGGTCCGGGAAATAAATGGGCGGCATGATTTTGAACACGTAGTAAGAGGTCGTGTTTGCCAGCAGACAATCCCCGCCTTCCTGCAAATTTCTCAGCAGTGAGAACAAAATCTTGTTCACCAGTAGGATTTCCTCTGCGCAAAAGAAGTGAACGTGCGGAAAGGCCAGGCATTTGCTTTCCGTTTTCTGTCAGCAAAAAAAAAAAAAAAAAAAAAAGTAAAATGGGTCGAATCGAAAAGTTGAGATTCTATACAGAGCAGTTGAAACTTTCGCGCGACATCGAATGTAAAATCCTTTTTGTAGAATCCCAACAAATGCTTTTGAAATACCGTAGTGAAAAACAATTTTGCCCAGGACTTGTTCGTAGAAGTAAGTTCCTAAAATATTTTATTCATTCTGGTCCAAACAAGAATTATTCAGTCAACTTGGCAATTTCGCTATTCACACTTGTTCAAGTAGTTTGAACAATAGATGAAGGCAGGTTGATACGAGACTTGAACAGATAAAAATGAAAGAAAAATGGGTTGCTGACTTCTTCGAGGATTTTGGATTCATTTGATTGGCAATAGAAGTCAAATTCTGTATTTTTTTGATGATTTCAAATTAATGAAAAATAAGAAGGGAACTTGTTGGCATCCATGCTCTTGAAACTTGGTGCCAGTTTTTACGCGAGTGAAAGTTTTACTTGGGAAGGGTGAAACTAGATGAACCAGATCGCAATGATCAGAAAAAATAGCCCCTGTTTCAAGATGTGGCATTCAAAAGATAATCATTCATTTTTTTAAAGGAAAAGCAGCTGAGTTCTTTTTTGGTTAAGGATTCACCTCGATTTTATTAGTCATGAGAGAATTGATCTTTTCCAAATTTTTTAATAAGTTGCCTATTCTACAAAAGCAGATCTGAAATTATTGTGGGTTCATTCTGTATAATTAACAGTCAATTCTCAATAAAGCCGCCACAATTTTTGTGAAGTTTGTGGCGGTTTGACTGGGTTGCTGGTTTAAAAGGGGGTTGGAGGTACTGTTCATTAAAAAGAGCTAAAATAATATGAAAATTAATAATGAAAGGAAATGAAATTCCTTGTCTTCCAGAAAACAATCAAAATAGAACCTTGGGAAGCGTAAATTATACCTAGCTAATGTTCCCAAGGGGTAAATTATGTTGTCCTTCTGTTGGGTTTTTTTTTTTTATTGGAGACCTCTAGCAAAAACTTGGATCTTGTTCACGGACTTTCAAAGGCAAAAATTGATTGACAGGAGCATATTTGATTTGTCTATAATTTTGGCGGATGACATTTTACCCGGATTCCCAATGATTTGTATCATTCGGAAAGATTTTTTTTTTTTCAAAATAAATTACTTTCAAAGGCAAAAATTGATTGACAGGAGCATATTTGATTTGTCTATAATTTTGGCGGATGACATTTTACCCGGATTCCCAATGATTTGTATCATTCGGAAAGATTTTTTTTTTTCAAAATAAATTGCCGGTTTCCGAGGATGGGCGGCTCATCATATCTAAACGGGGTTTGACTTTAAATCGTATCGCACAAACCTCGATGACTGTCAATATGCTTGAATCTCTGGATGGCTCGACGAAGTCCAGCAGCGCAGAGTTGGAGAACAAAACGTGGTCGAGTGTCGTGGACGAGGTCTCGGCTGCCTGTGCCAAAAGCAGCGCGCAAATGAACCGGGCCTTCATTTCTTGCTTATGCTGCTCACTGATGTCGCCCATGGTCGTGTCACCGGTGTCGATAGTCAATGCCCGTGTCGCCAGCAATTCCCTGAGTGCGCTACAAGCCTCGTCCAGCAGCCACCACTTGTTTCTTTCGGCCTCTGTATCGAAGGTTGGAACATAATTGTCCGGCGAATTGAGGTGCAGTTGCTTTTTTTCTTCTTACTGAATTGCAGTTAAATGATCTTTTTTCAAGAGATTTAAACACGAAATGCTTTGCCAGTTATTCCGGTTCATAAACGACATGTCAGCCTTTTTATGACCGTTGATTGTCTGAGAATAATTATTTTAATTGCTTTTTGTTTTTGAGGATGGCTTCATCTGTAGGAGATTCATCCAAAAAAGACTGAGAAAGTAAAGATCTGAAAATGAAAGGAATTGAAAAGCAACAATCTGCAGGGGAACATGGCAGGGAGATTCTCAGTAGAATCTTCCTTCTTATGTCCAGCATTTCATACTGATAGAAACAAGCAAAAGAAAGATTTACAAGTACTGGAATTCAATGAAGAGACCCTTTCTGAAATCTTCAACAATCAAGATAAACTGTTGGCTTTATATGATTTCTCATCAAAGATTCTCTGTAATTTGTTCATTCAACTAAACCTCATACAGAAACAAGCTGAAGACCTTGTGCTTTAAATTAATTTTTACATATATTTAGACCTTGTGCTTTAAATTAGTTTTTATATATATTTTGTTACCAATGTCAGGGAATGAATGGGTGTATGCATACCAGTTGTATTTCATGTTCTATTGTATTTTCTTTTATTTTTGTTATCAATTTGTGCTTTCCTGCTATGAAGTGATTAAAATGTCATGGAGTGGATTTGGGTTGGGTGGGAAGGGGGTTTGTTTGTGGAAATCTTGATTGAACCTTCTGAATGCTGAAAAGCGGCAAATAAAGTGTTCTGTTCATTCATTCAGTATAATTTCCAAAGATGAGAAAGAATGTACAGTCAAACCCCGTCAAGACGCCCCCAATAAAGCACCACCCTTGGCAACTGCCAAAATTTTGAATGAAACAAATTTCCTCTATGTTAAAGTCCATAGAAAACCTCCATAAGATGCAATCCGCCAGCATTATTGATGAAACAAAAGTGCTTTTTCCAATTAGTTTTGTCTGTATTACAATGCCAACATTGGGGTAGAATTATAATTTCTGCCAAGGATCTTGTATTTGTAAGAAAAAAATAATAATGTTGAAGATTTTGAAAAATATATTGACCTAATCTTAAAATTTGAATAAATTGATGCAGAAAAACTTATTTTCTGAAAGAGTAACTCATTGATCACAGGAATACTCTTTGGAAAATTACTGAAGTTTCTACACATAACCTGTATCTCTATGACTTTTGGAGGAAAATCAAGTATTTTTGATCAAATAATTAAAATTAAATATTTGATAAACCGCCAACCTTTTTAAACTGCCAAAATTGCACTGGACAAATGGTGGCATCTTATCAGGGGTTGACTGTATTTCACAAAGGAAAAGTTGGGATCAACAAACTCAAGAAATTCAATTTGAGAGATGACACCGTTGACAAAGTAAATTTTCAAAGCATAACTGAATGCTTCAAAATCGGGAAAAAAACTCTGCTGATTCTCGCATACCATGTCAATGAAATGGGAATTGGAACTTGCGCAATGCGGGAATTTCTTGGAAGTTCCTTCTGCCGCATTCCTGGCTCATTCTGTTTATCCGGTTAAATTAAAGTATTACTGACTTTTTGGGTGACTCCTGACATCTGAGCCCCACATCATCATCTATTGAACTTTTAAACTTGCTTCTCAGGAACTGGATATCTATTCTTATCGTGAAGTTATTTTCAGAAATTTTTTGACTCGTTTCAGAAAAGTCCAATTGGAAACGGGAATCAAATACAAAAATGAAGGCTTCTTAATCCCTATTCCCGGCTTGTTTCCCACGTTCCATTTCTCGCGTTTTCATCATACTGTATTTACAAGCTCCAAAGAAACGTACGATCAATAAAAAAGTATCCATTTAGAAGTTATGAGATGCTTTGTCCAAAAAATAGCAACAGCGGGGGTTTTTCCGACCCAGCTCGATGATGTCAAAAATATAATCAGTTTTCGAACTTTGTAAAAGACTTCAACTTTTGGGAACAGAATTTGGAAGATAAATAACAATAATATAATCTGCATTTGGAGTATCAAACTGTTCACCTGATGCATTTGGCTTCCCGGAAGTTGGTGGTTTCTGAATCACTTGAGTCTCCAGCAATTCTTGAAAGCTTTCTTCAGAAAACGACGTTGGCATTGGATGGTCCAGAATCTCCAACGCCAATTTAAGTAAGAATCTTGCTTTCGTTTTCGCACCCGAAACTGCAGAAAATTAACCATGAATAAAAAAATCTATCTCGATTTGAATTAAAAATAAAAATCATAAATACAAGTATATGACTTCGAACGATCCTCTTCGCAGTCTATAACTAGAAAAAAAAGTATTATCAAGAATATGAGGGAGGCTCATCTCATATAGTCATAGGTTCTAATAATCCATCGAAAAAAAAACTCAAAGTCAACTGTTGGGATGCTAAAATAATTTGCGATTGATCTTTCTCAAGATTCATGAAGCAGCTGTCAAAGTGAACATTCGGTCACTGATGAGGAAGACTTCGGCGGAAAAAAAAGAGGAATATGCAAGGCTTCGATTTTAATTTGCACTCCGAATCGATATGTTATTATCTCTATATATAGAGCTCAGCATAAGTAGGGCGGGGAAAAATAAAATCTTCAATTATCCGCAACGTGATCCAGCCCTTTGAAGTTTTGCGCGTGGGCTTTTTTTTTATTTTTTTCATCAGCGACGATGCGAGAAATTGGACCATTTGATGAATGTGAGACAAGCAATTCAACGAAGGCATCGTACGATCAAATTCGATTACCGAGATGTTGTGGTAATCTGCGGCTTTCAGAGGAAATGAAACCTTTTCTGCTAACTGCTCGAACGACGAGGGGCTTCGAATGAATCAATAAAGAAGTAAAAATAAATAAGATATCTTTGTGTATTTCCAAGATTGTTTTCATCAGAAAGGGAAACGTTTTTTTTTTTTCTCGCAGGAAGAAACTGGTGATGCATTTCGTGAATTGATTTCCGCAAAAGCATGAACGCGGTACGTTGAACAGGAATGATTATGCGGTACATTAGTTTAGAACGTCTCATATGATTTTATAGGCTGAAGTCCGACTTCAGGAAACCGGCATATTTGTACTACAGTATATACAGTACTGCACAACCGAGGAAATCACATCTCGACATGTTTTGCAATGCCTTTGATATTTTATGTAGAGTGGTGTAAAACTTGAGTGACGATCCAAAATGGAAGCCATGAATCGAAACTGCCAGCAGACTTTGTACTGGAATTATTTTTAGAGGAGCATTTTCTTTTCTTTCCGGATAATTAATAAACCAGAGAGTCCACGGAACGAATCTTTAGTTCGAGGTTATATTTACAATTTTTTTTATTTTTGTATGACGGCTCTTTTCATTGTATGCTTCACTCGTCATTTCTGAAATTAAGTGATGGGAATGAATAAGGGCCATATCGGGTGCAACATCTGTTGAAAAAAAAATTTTTTGAAAATGTTTAAACTTCAAACTGTATCCTGCGAGTTAATTTTGTGTGAGTGTCGCCAAAATTAATTTCACAAATGCTTAACGAGTCTATTTTAAGGCTGAAAATGAATTTCTAAATTTTTTTGTTTCAGCCAATTGTGGCACGGAGAGGAAATCACCCGATTTTGCTACTTGGCATCTGGAAATTCGTTTTTGTTTTAAAGGTTGGAATGATTCCAGTTGAAATTTCAAATTCAATACAGCTGTCGACACATTTTTTTTAGTTTACACAATTTTCATAGTCAAGTCACGCCCAATGCTTATGTTCAAAGGAAACAAGATACGCGATTAATTTCTGCCGTGAAAATTCAATTCCTGCTTCATACAGTATCTTGATTCAACATAAAAGTTCAGGTCCTCATTCTCGACGAATAAATGAATTTTCAAATGAAATCCACCAGTTCCATGTACTACCGGTATCTTCCTTTTTGATCTTGGAAATCTGGTTTAGTTCCTACACGTTTTCGAATCAGGTGCAGATTTTCAAAAGGCTCGCATGAAGGTCATGCCAAGGAATTTTAAAGCCGTGACATTTAAAATTGGCGCAGTGTAATCTTTTGCATACTGTACTGCTTACGTCTGTACAAAGTGGCGTCGAGTCTCAGGGACCGGGCTCGCAAAACTTGGAAAGCAGTAGATGATTTCGCTAATTTCAGGGCATTCGACATCGTCTTGCCCACTATAGCTCGGACCTTTTCTGCAATTTCCTCTGCTTCGTCATAAGCCCCGGTTACAGTTGCTGCCAATCCCACGTTCACCAATGCCATGAGAGCCATGATCAACTTGCCTTCAAGAGGAAGACAAAAAAGCATTTATTTGACTGGGAATTTAAATAAAGGAAACTATTTCGGATCATATATACTAGGTTCAGCATTTTTAATTTTGAAGTATACGAATGAATTCGAATTAGGAGTGTCATTCGGGCAGATATCTACTTGATTTTCACTCTTCATGCGGGCGAAATTCTGATCATCAAATTGTTTACTGTCGGAATAAATTCGAGAGTCGCAAAAGAAAAGCAGTGCCAAACATAATTTACTAGATTCATTGCAACACATTATTTTTGGTGGGTTTTCTAAAAATTATCAAAAAGTTAGCTTCCGATTTTTCTTGATTTTATAAATCATAACATGCTGCTCTCACAAAAAAAGAATTACAGATTGCTCAAAAAATAAAACTCCGTAGGGATTCTCTTCGAATTGGGAACTTCACTGTTCAATAATAAAGTGGTCAAGGAAAAAATTCAAATTTGACGAGATCAACATTTTTGATTTCCGAAAAAAAAAGCATCTCAGTTTCTTTTAATGAGTGTGTTGTAGCAATTTTGTGGGGAATTTTCGGGTGGGACCTCGTGAAGCATGACGTACAGTAGTTTAAACAGGATTTTCTTTCTTCTACCCGGATCTAAGAAATTGGCAAAAAAGAGCGATTGGCGGCGCGCTGTTTGGCACGCCGAAATCCGAGGAGTGAAAGGGAAGTCGAAATTACTCCCGGCTCGGGAAACTCTAACCTTTGCCAAAAAATCTTAATCTTTGCCAACAACCGGCGCATCTTTAAGCCACTCCGAGAAAACAAGGGAGTTGAAAAGTATTGATTTCCTAGGAAAGGCCAGATATCCCCAGGCTGAGAATTTCTACTGCAAAACGATGTTCTGCAATTCTAACCCCTGCACTTTTCGGGGAAAAATCGTCTCAAGTTAACGCCAGGAAATCTGATATGTTAGCAGCTATATAGACCCTTTCTTTTCGGGCAAAAAATCAATTCGTCAACTTCAGCTTCAAACAACCGCCCGACGGGTTGACTTACATCAACTTGTAAAAACGTCGAGACACTTATTTTTTGGGGAAAAACAGCAGGTTTAGGAAAATATGCTCGAAGGAAGACACCCGGCGATTGGGTCGTGTTTCAAAAGACATTTTCTTGGCCACCTGGACCCAAAAGGGGTAAACAAGTTGTGCAGAAGTCATGAACCTCTAACCTCTTGGAATGGAAAGTTACAAGTTACACAGCTGAGGAGAAAAATTGCATAAACCCCGAAGAAAATCAGGAGTATAGTCAATTAAATTAAGTTGTTGTTAAATGGCTGCCGAAAGCAGTCAAAAAACTCTTGAGTTTCGCGCCGGAATACGCGTGTGCGTGCTGAATTCGTATTGAAATCTTTGTCGCTTAAAATTTGCGCGCTATCGTCTCTTTAATTTTGTCTCATGTGAAACTTACTGGTGTTTTCAAATTGTCTGTGAAACAAGGAGGTAACGCTAGTGGGAAAAATTTCCAATTTCCCTGATCGATTTGCGCACCGGCCAATTGCCGTGTATCATTTAATTTGAACTACTGCCAATCCTTCAACTCTAGAAAATCAAAAGATCACTCTGTTGACAATTTTGCCGATTCTCATGAAAAAGTTGTACGGCTCTAAAGGATTAAATCTCTCCTGAAACTTGATTTAAAACCCTAAAAATTTTGTGCAACTGATTTGTTGAGATCCCTGAGAGTTTATTTTTAAGAACTAAGAAGATCCATCCTGATTTTTTTTTGGATATTTTCAAAAATGAAGAACAATTTATCAACTCAGATGATATATTTTTCAAGTATTTTCATTAATTCAACATTAAGATGTTTGTGATCAAGGTTGTACACATCTGTTTCATGAAATGCTATGATTAGCTTCTTCGTGAGAAATATAATTGAAACCTCTTTTCTCTTATTTGAAAAATTTCAAAAGTAGCGGAAACGTACCTGTGATTTTTAGATGACGGTACAAGTCAGTCATGATGCTCATGACAACCAAAGGACATTCGCAAACCATCCCATTTGTGTGTAATCTTTTCTTCAAGGAGGCATTGACGGCTTTCAAATTCAAGAATCGCTTCAGGTAGTTTCCTGCTGGTTCCAGATTTCTGCTTTCTGGAAATAATTTTGAAGAATTTTTATAGTCCTTCCTGAATGTGTGGGTATTTTTTTTACGGAATGCGTAGTTGTCATTTCTGTGAAATTTTTGTTCAGAATGACTCACCTACGTATTCGGCGTATTTGGTTCCCCAGTTCTCCAGCATTTTCGCAAGTGGCAACATGGCCTTCAATTCTCTGTAATTTGGATGAATTTTGTTACATAACGTGAATTATTGCTGAGAAAAAATTTGAATACGCGAGATAACACAAGAATAAAGTATAGAAACGTTGATTCATTCGTTAAAATGATGGTGATTCATGCGATTCGTATTCATCGAAAATTCTGCGAAAGCAAGCAATTCAAAAGCTTCTTCGTTTTTCGGGCGGAAAAATCGAACTGATTGAACTAAAATAAATGGTGCCAAAAGGCTGAATCTCGAGAAAGTTTTCAATGTACTTTACTCCATTTTTTCGATGGTTTTCAGGTTTTCTTTTTTCATGATAATGAAAAAAAACATTTTAGCATGGGACAAATCAGAATATTAGGTACAGTGCAGTGTCTGAATTTTAATGCAGTTGTAGCATATTTCATCGACTTTTGGGCAACACAGGTTCGTGTACCAGAATGTCTCGTGGATTATTTAAATTCTGCACAGTTTTCGGTTGGAATTTCCCTGAAATTGTCAAGATTTAATTTCCTTAAAATTATATTGCTTCGAAAAATCTTACTTATCTTTGCAACATACCCATCACCAATATTTCCGACGCAATTTTCCGCGTGTTTCACCATACATTGAATTTTCGACGTATGTTAATTTCAACAATGCGGACAAAAATTGAGCTTTTCAAAGGCGAAAGCTTCAAGATTTTCTCACCGCGTGCGTTCTGTGTCAATGTCAGACCCGCTATCCCGCGTTGTTTTGGGGTCGAAATATTGTTTGAGGTGGTTTTTCGGCATGTGCCAAACGGACTTTACCAAATTTTCTGCAAGGTTTTCCTTAGATTTCTTCGGCGTTTCATTACTGTTCGGGTCCTCGGAGATCAGCTTTGATTTCACGGAGTGCACCACCTTTGGATCTGGCGGAATCCAACGGCCATCCCTCAAGCGCTAAAAAAAAAAATTCAGGGAATTGTGCTTTAAAAAAATTTGAAGATCAAGGAGGAATGAAATTTCTTCTTGCAATTTCTTCTGTACGAGTATACGAGGTTTCTAGCATAAGTTCTCGGAAAAGACAATTAGAATTGTGTGTGATCGAGTTGAAAAAAAATAATTCTTTAGGGAAAACATATTCTTTGGCACAAAAAAAATCAGCCCAGTTTGACAATTTTTTTAATGTTTTTCAAAATTCCCTCTGGCAGAGTTTTTCTCTCCACTCAACGGATGAGGCGCCCTTCCTGCAGTTTTTTTTTTTTTTCACCCAGCTTAGTGGCGGCTGTGAAGGCGGCTGTTGATGAAAATGGTGGAATTACCTTGGAAGACCTGGAGGCAACCCTTGGAATTAATGCCATGTTGATTTCAAAAATTCTGAGCGGAAAGCTGGGTTAAACAAAACAAACTGCAGGAATGGCGCCTAATCTGTTGAGTGGAGAGAAAAACTCTGCCAGGGGGAATTTTGCGAAGCAAAAAAAATTGTCAAACTGGGCTGATTTTTATCGGGCCAAAGAATATGTTTTGCCTAAAAAATAATGTTTTTCCCCTCGATTATACGCCATTTTAATTTCTATTCCAAGAACTTTTGTTAGAACCCTCGTACATTACTGAAAGTAAAAAACGGAATGACACTTCGAATGCATTACTTTCATATTGATCCTATTAACCTTCGAAAATGTTTGGAGAATGAGAAATTTCTTGATTTTTAAATTTTATAATTGGCTTATCTGTGTCGGGATTCTAGAAACGTACTGATCTATGTCGGGATTCTAAAAAACTTGACGATTTTCTACGAGAAAAAAAAACTGGTGCTAAAACGGATAAAAAGGATCTCTCAAAGTGATGTGGTGCGCGATATTGGTCATGGATCACTTCGGTATAAAAGCAGATTTGACAAGTTTCCAGCCATCAAGTAAATACGGCAAATTTACGCAAAGACAAATGAAGAATTAGGAAGATTGTGAATTATTCACGATTAATAGAAAAACAACCTCCTGAGCAGCTTCTTCTCTCAGCGCGATTTCACTTCTCCAATCTCGTAACGGCGCTTGAACGTCTCGATTCAAAAACGGGAAATACAAATCCCGAAACGAAGTCGATGTTCCCGACAATTGAAAATAATTCAACTGCGAAAAAAAATACCTAAAATTAATTATGAATCCGCAGTTGATCGAATGGATCAAAGGGTTTTCCCCTCCTGAACAAGTTAGAATAAAGAAGCTTTCTCCCTAATCTGATAAATAAGGGTGCTCAAATTTTGGAAAATTTGTTCGTAAGAATTGAAAATTTTATTTATACTAGTATTTCTACAATTGTCTTGCGAATTCAAGCATCCTTTGTGGCAAAAATATATTGAAAAATCAGTGCGTGACTTACAATTTGATTGTTCCAAGAATTCAAAATTTTTTTTCATTGATGGCGTTTTAGATTTTCGCGGGAAGTTGATGATTTTTTATGATCAACACAATCAGTAGATTAGAATCAAGTCCAGAATTCAATCGCAAAAATCTTTCGCACCATTCTAGGCTCAAAAGCGCAAGAGTCTGACACCTGAAATGTATTCGAAAGAAATGAAGCTGTATACTCAATCTTCAGCACATTTAACAAATTCCTCAGATTTCTGAAGAAATTCAATTCGATAGAAAGAGCTGCTTTCATTGGTGGATGAAATTATTTTCGTATACTGAGGCACTGTTTACTTACCTCTTCAAAATTGAATTTCAGACCCACAATTTCAAAACTGAGACATTGGTGACAATCATGACATTAAAGAATAATAATGCAGTACCTTTTCTTCGTATTGAACCGTGACGTACGTGCCTCCAGTGCAGTGTCGACAGCGTCGAGGGAATTCCAACAACAACTTCGTTACCTTCCTGTGCATCCTCTTTTTCTGCTGTTCAGTGAGCAAATTGTAAATCGTTTTTCGCTGCAACGGACTGCTGAATTTGAGTGATTGACAATAGATCAGCTGCACATCACCGTCCGCTTCTGCAAAAACAAAAAATAACCAGCGCAAAGTTTAGGGAAATAAACTCGACAATCTGTCGCACGCGTCAGTCTTACGTCGACCCGGGAAACGATTAATTGGAAAATTGCGAATAATCTGGAGAATGATTGATGCGTTTTTCCGCAGAGCATTAAATGTACTGAACATTGATTCGGATATGATTTCTCACCGAGGAAACATTTGCAGAGTAAACGAGCTCCGGTTAGAGCTGAATTCCGCATTCTGCGATCTAAATTTGCAAAAAGAAATAAAATGCACAGATTAAATGATTGAATATGTTTGGAAAGACATTTTGTCACTGAAAACAAGTGAGAGACTGAATTTTGTCGAAAGACTGTGCCCAAAAATCAAAAAATGGAATATTTATCCTCGAAGTAAGTTTTCTTTTCTTAACATTCGACCAATAAATGTATTCGGATCATTTTGCGAGAGGTAAAATGAGTACTGCGATCGGTATATTACAAAATACTTCCCATCAACAATAAATCGCGAATACGGTATAGAATTTAAAGTATTTCGAAGACTCATCATTTAATTAAGCTTCAAACCCGCAAAAATGATTCAGCAATTAAATCCGATTGCAATGATTCCTTTAGCTTGAGTATTTTTGGTTGCTCGGATTTATTTTTCCGTATTTATTAAAGCTCTATGCTTCGATCCGATCCTTGCAGTTTTTGACTTACAGTATTTCAATTACCGGCATTGATGATCAAATTATTGAATTCGGAATACAATTATGTTTTTCGGGATTCTTCCAATTATTTCTCGTCTTGCTGAGAATAAAAGCATCATTATTGAATCGGAACTTCGGCCCATGAGCATGACTTATTGTACCCCGAATGTCGTCAAAGAGGGTTTTATAAAAAAAAAATATTTGCCATCGCTATGATCGACATACCATTTAAAACGCTTATTTCTCATTGAATTTTTTGAAAGTTCCAACGAAATTTTAAACCTGGTCTTTCGCCGAGAGAAGCCGGGGCAGTTGAGACCATGGTGGCAATTTTCGCCATGGAAGCCTGATCGTCCAAGGACACCATTCGCGGGCACTCGAGGTATCCGAACGCGATCAATGCTTTTGAAACTGCGGATGATCCAATAAAACCCGTCAAATGCAGTAAAAGGTTCCAGTCATATGGCACGAAGAAGAGGGGTTTTTCTTACTACAGGACATACCCAGATCCTGATGCTACTATACGTCGTCACAGTTACTTCTTTATACTGAGGGTATACTGAGGGTATATTTCAAAGTTCTCGAACTGCATCCGGAAATATTCGTCAAAATCAACTCGAAAAGGACTCGAGTCAATTATATGCTCACATTTATGCTTTACAGTAATTTTTTTTTTAATAAAAAAGGGTGAAATATTTTGTAGGATTTAATCTATTTTAAATGTCTCGAGAAATGAATTATACAGCATTTTATTATTCTGCTCGAGAAGAAATTTAAAATTTTGTCTCCTCGACTGAAATGTTGGATGTAGTCCAGAAAAGTACCGACGACGTCCACAATTCATGCTTGGTCTTTGTGGGGAGTAAAATACTTCTTCCACATACAGTATTACAAACATTTCTTTCTTTCGTTTACATTCAATTTTTCTTTATAAAGGGAAAGACGGTTCGAGAATCTATGCCTGAAAGCACCAGAAAAAATCTTTCTTCGGCAGAAATTAAACATTTCCCCGTGTTTATTTTATTCTGATTTCCTCCCCTTTTAATAAACTATTGCAGCTAATTATGATATAGGTATTTACAGAACTCAATTTTTTGTAATTGCATTTGCTGTAATCGTTTCAGTACAGATTGATTATCGCAGAAATTTCCTATTTTATGACAAAATAAACCTATTTGCCAGGTTTTTCCAAAACCGACGAAGTGCTTCGTCATTTTTGCTACATATAATCGTATCCATGGTTAAATAAAAACTTGGCATCTTCAACAAATGTGGCTTCAAGAAATCTTCGCAATCGCAAAAATATCTCAATCTCGAAAAGAAAACATTTTTATCATTAGTGCCTGGATAGATTAAAGGAAATATCCCATCGTGAAACAAGTTGGTCCGATTCGGTGCGTTTTTTCTCTTTTGTACAGATATTAAGATAAGATTAATCATGTGAATTACTTAGAAAAGAATTTTCTCACTTTTCCGGAAAGTATTCGGATCGATCTTGAGAATCAAGGAAAGAAGTTCCAAGGAAAAGACGTGTCCCAAGATCGCTGCGAACTTGAGGTAATTCTGTTCCGTCGCACTCAAGTGGTCGAATCCGGTCAACATCACCTCTAAATTTTGTTTTTTTTTCATTAGAAAAATCGTGACGAAATGATAAGCTGGGTCACGGTTCTCCGTATTGCCCTCACTTTGTTTTACTTTTCAAGAAGATCCCCAAGGGTTTATATATTCACGCTTATTACCTCTCATGGTCCCGAGTTCCTTGAACTGCTCGAGATGAACATCTTGCTTAAGAATGGCCCACTTCAGGATTTTCGTGTCCAGGTTATGCGGATCCACGCTTGTTTTCGTGTAAAGGAACATCTTTAAAAAAAAACGCGAAAAAAGTGAAATGATGAGCCTGAGACATATACGATATGAAGCACGAGGAAAAATTTACATTTTGACGAGAAACTTGCGTCTCTGCCATCTTCTCGTAGAACGACTGCAAAGAAATGAAAACGAAATAAAAGCCGAGTCGTTCAGATTCATAAGGAAATGATTTGCAAGAAGGAATTAGGAAATTGAGTAAAGAATGAAATTCAGGAGCTCTCTCTCACGTAAGGAACCAAGTATTGAGTCGTCCCGAATCGTGGTCGGTAGGCTTCGATTTCTTTCGTGTTCTCGGAATGAGGAATCAAGTAGATTTTGTTGCTGCGAGCGAGTTGTACGATGATCTTCTTGCAGACTTTGCAATTTCCTCCAGAAATGTTGATTAGTAACCTGCGCATTCAAAACATTTTTCTCAGACGCAGGAACAGGTTATTCTTAAATAACTTTCGCCTTGAAAAAAAAAACGTTGAGACGTTCCTTATCCTTAGTAAAATATAGTCTCCGGAATCTTCTGATTTATAGCCGAATTAGTTGCTTGTCATTTTTTAAGCGGTTGATTATCTGCTAAGTTGAACCTTGTGATAAGTCGATTTTTTTCACGTCCTTGTCTGAATTCCCCTTAGAAGCAATGTATTAAAAATTTTTATAACTCGAATTCTTTTCCTCTCAAGCCTCGGTAAGACGAATTTTCTGAGGCCTTTTGGCTATTATGACACTTGAAAGTGAAAAGCAGTGAAACAAATAACTTGATGTGTTTGGAAAGGAAGTGACAGGCTACTTGGGCAAATGAACCCATGCCTCCAAGTTCAGCAAGCTGTAAACTCAACTAAGAAGCAATTTAAGGCCAAGAATATCCAGTAATCATTTACAATATTCAGCAATTATTTTATGCTCCCCACAACAAAAATGCTCGTTTCCCTTCCTCAAAACCTCCCTAAATGGAAACCTCTCAAAGTCCAATACTCCAAACCTCCCTAACTCGAATTTTTTTGCTGAAGGTCCATTGAAATTTGACTTGGACAGGTTTGACTGCATCAGCACCTAGACCAGATGCTAGCAGTACGATCGACTTACACTTTGGGGAAAGATACATTTTTAAATCAAAGGAAAATCATCTTCCCGACAAAATTGAGATGCAATTTTTTTTCTAGTGCTAATTCAGAGTTGGATAGCGGCCAATTTTGTGGTTGTTTTCAATAAAAAAAACATTACATGCACTTCCGAAACATTTTTTTTTTTTTCAAAATTCATAAATAAACTCACTCCTCCAAGTCTTCAGACACAGCTCGAACTTCCAGGAATTGACAAGCCAGGGTTGCCAAAAGTTCAGGCGGAAGACCTCCAATCAAGTGTCTCACTGTTGTTGATGACGGTTGGTGTAGGTATGGACGACGTGTGTTAAGGGGCGATCCACCGTAACACTCGTCGTTGTCGTCACCGCGGTCGTTAGAGACGGACACACACATAATTTCAACTTGGAACGATTCAGTTTGGAGGGAAACTCAAATTTTTTTTAAAAGTCCCTGTTTGGTTTCCCTTGGAAACAATGCTTTAAAAACCTCCCTAACTCAAAGTATTTTCCTCTCAAACATCTGCTGTGAGTCTAATTTTCTTAGGCCTTTTGGTTATTATTTCCTTGAAATATGAAAGAGAAAAATCAATAAAACAAATGATTTTATGTATCTTGAAATGAAGTGAAAGACTAATTGAACAAATGAACCCCTGCCTCCAAGTTCAGCAAGCTGTAAAGTCGGCCCAGAATTTCCTTCTCTACAATTTTCTTTCATTTTTTTACTCTTCCTCACAGCAGAAATGTTTCTTCCCTTCACTCAAAAAATCAAAACCTCCCCGATTCAAATTTTTTCCCTATAATCCCTAGAATTTCGATTTGGAAAGGCTCAACTGTATTTTTTTAAATTTTACGTACGTCTAAATTATTGTGCGGCAGGAACGGTAGGACGTGAATTCGGATTGAAATTTCAGCAACAATATAATCCATGGTACGTTTCCGAATGTGTAGAATGATATTTAAAGGAAGTTTACTTGACGAATGCCCTGCGAAGAACGAGCCAGGATCCTTCGTCGAGGTACTGAGCGTTGTCAATGGCAAGGATCAAGCAATATTTTTCCTCCTTGCATGCCTGTTTTTAGACAGAGAAAACACGTGTTGAAATTGATTACAGTATCACAATCTTAAAAATTAGATCGATTTTTTAGTAAATTCGAGGACTTGAAAGGGTGACGGGAACGTTTTCTGCATCTCTGCAGATAATAATTCACGAACGAATACAGAGCATTAAAATCTTTTACCATGTGACTTNTTTTTTCTCTTTTGTACAGATATTAAGATAAGATTAATCATGTGAATTACTTAGAAAAGAATTTTCTCACTTTTCCGGAAAGTATTCGGATCGATCTTGAGAATCAAGGAAAGAAGTTCCAAGGAAAAGACGTGTCCCAAGATCGCTGCGAACTTGAGGTAATTCTGTTCCGTCGCACTCAAGTGGTCGAATCCGGTCAACATCACCTCTAAATTTTTTTTTTTTTTCATTAGAAAAATCGTGACGAAATTATAAGTTGGGTCACGGTTCTCCGTATTGCCCTTACTTTGTTTTACTTTTCGAGAAGATCCCCAAGGGTTTATATATTCACGCTTACCTCTCATGGTCCCGAGTTCCTTGAACTGCTCGAGATGAACATCTTGCTTAAGAATGGCCCACTTCAGGATTTTCGTGTCCAGGTTATGCGGATCCACGCTTGTTTTCGTGTAAAGGAACATCTTTAAAAAAAAACGCGAAAAAAGTGAAATGATGAGCCTGAGACATATACGATATGAAGCACGAGGAAAAATTTACATTTTGACGAGAAACTTGCGTCTCTGCCATCTTCTCGTAGAACGACTGCAAAGAAATGAAAACGAAATAAAAGCCGAGTCGTTCAGATTCATAAGGAAATGATTTGCAAGAAGGAATTAGGAAATTGAGTAAAGAATGAAATTCAGGAGCTCTCTCTCACGTAAGGAACCAAGTATTGAGTCGTCCCGAATCGTGGTCGGTAGGCTTCGATTTCTTTCGTGTTCTCGGAATGAGGAATCAAGTAGATTTTGTTGCTGCGAGCGAGTTGTACGATGATCTTCTTGCAGACTTTGCAATTTCCTCCAGAAATGTTGATTAGTAACCTGCGCATTCAAAACATTTTTCTCAGACGCAGGAACAGGTTATTCTTAAATAACTTTCGCCTTGAAAAAAAAAAAGGTCATTGAGGAGCCAAAGTTCGTCGGTCACGCCTTTTTCGCCGTAGGGATTATGCTCGCCTTCAATCGCCTGTGCTCGCATGGCAGTCGCTTCCCTCCCACTCATGTACATTTGCAGTATCTTCTTATGCTTTTTCTTCAAATATATCAAATTCAACCAGTGTAGTGATTATTTTTTTCTTCCGCAAGCTGAATAATTCAAGTGATCTCGGTTCAAGTACGTTTAATCCCTTACGAGTCACGTCACCCGCTCGGATATTCAAGAGATAATACTGTATGTACAAATGCGAATCATTCACCTCCAGTGGCATTTCGTCAGTCAGTCCCATGAGCTCAATGAAAAGTGCAACTAGAACTTTGTAAGTTGGAGCTCGTTTCTGGCCATGATGCGATGAAACCCCGACGGCTCGACACCCGATCCTCCTAGCATCTCTTAGAACTGCGTCCACGAGCCTTGTTCTTCCTGATCCACTCGGTCCTAATTATTATTATTATTTTTTTAGGAAATCCTCATTTTTTTCTGTCGAAAAGGAAGACCAAGGGAATAAGTTGGAGTTTTTTTTCTGAATTTCTGTCAATTTCCAGGAATCGACGCAAGTTATTGTAGAGGGGCTTTCTTTTCCAGATAAATATGCACCATTACGTGGTCCACCAATTTTTGAAGGAAATTTTTGCTGAAAGTATGTGAAAAACTACGAAAGCAATTATTATTATTATTATTATTTTTAAAGAAAATCCTCATTTTTTTCAATCGAAAAGGAAAACCGAGCAAATGAATTGGATTTTTTTCTGAATTTCTGAAAATTTGCAGGAATCGACGCAAGTTGTAGAGGGGCTTTCTTTTCCAGATAAATATGCACCATTACGTGGTCCACCAATTTTTGAAGGACATTTTTCTGAAAATATGTGAAAAACTACGAAAGCAAGTATTATTATTTTTAAAAAATCCTCATTTTTTTCAATCGAAAAGGAAAACCAAGCAAATAAACTGGATTTTTTCTGAATTTCTGACAATTTCCAGGAATCGACCCAAGTTGTAGAGGGGCTTTCTTTTCCAGATGAATATGCACCATGACGTGGTCCACCAATTTTTGAAGTACATTTTTGCTGAAAATACTGTATGTGAAAAACTACGAAAGCTTAGTTCTTCAATTTAAATCCCAAATGATTTTCGATTGCTTTCAATACAGTTCTGTATAATGTTTTCCCTACTTCGTTTTCTCATTTTTAATACCGTGGTTGATAAAGCCATTTGAAAACGAATCACTTGCGAAGAAAAGTTTCCGAAGTATTGTAAGTATAAAATTGAGTTTGAAACGTTATATTTAGAAAGCAAACTTTAGACCCGTTGACATTTTTAGTTGTTCTGCGGATCAGGTTTTGATCTGGGTATTTTTCGAAATTCAATCAATGATTGCAAGAACAGATTGATCGGATTTGTTTAGATTTTATTGTACTGTATCTCGATTCTTTTGGAAGCACTTCTGACGTTCTGACGCCTTCCTAACAAATCGAAAAATGTAATCATTGACGTTTTTGCGCAGAATTCCAGAATAACTTTCCGTCTTGACTTCGCAGAAAATCTTTTTGATCGCCGCAAAGTTACATTTGATGAAGTATATTAATGTCCATATATTTTAACAATGTTATGACGAGGAAATTTCGCGTTGATTTTTCAATTGCTCGAATCCAACTTTTCGGCATTCGCATTTTTTTCATATTTTTTATTTGTTTTCCTCTGAAAAAAAGTAGGGTTCAACGTGTGACGGGAAACCCTGAATATACATAATCGCGTCAGGCGGGGGAGAATTATTTCTCAAAGCGTCGATCGACGTGTGTATATAGCTGTGGTAGCGAAGTAATTGACCTCACTTGCGACAAACCTTCGAAGATGTGAACTCTGGGCCGGGAAACTTACAACCACATCCATACCTGCTGCACACAATTCCCCGCTAGGTGGCATTGTGAGCAGCAACAGCAGTGGCGCCAGCAATCTCTGCCTGTGTGTGTATTAAAGTTGAACCTTGCTAAGTCAAACCTCCCTGACTCAAAAATTTTTTTTTCAAGTCCCTGTTTGGATTCCCTTAGAAACAATTCTTTAAAAACCTCCCTAACTCAAAGTATTTTCCTCTCAAACATCTGCTGTAAGTCAAATTTTCTAGGCCTTTTGGTTATTATTTCCTTGAAATATGAAAGAGAAAAATCAATAAAACAAATGATTTTATGTATCTTGAAATGAAGTGAAAGACTAATTGGATAAATGAACCCCTGCCTCCAAGTTCAGCAAGCTGTAAACTCATTAAGAAGCTAGTTTATACCCAGAATATTCACATCTACAATTTCCCTTAATGTTTTTTTTACTCTTCCTCACAGCAAAAATGTTTCTTCCCTTCACTCAAAACCTCAAAAAATCAAAACCTCCCCGATTCAAATTTTTTTCCTATAGTCCCTAGAATTTCGATTTGGAAAAGCTCAACTGTACTTTATTAAATTTCACGTACGTCTGAATGTTTGTACGGCAGGAACGGTAGGACGTGAATTCGGATTGAAATTTTAGAAACAATAAAATCGATGGTATTGGTACGTTTCCGAATGACATCTTACTATAAATTTCCTTCAAATGAACTGCTTACGGGACGCTTCTTGCTCGGTCCTAGGAAGCAGCTCCATGACTCGCAACAGTTACCGTTCCTAGTTCGTTATAAAAAGGAGGAACGTACGGAGTTTTTAGACAGAGAAAATGTGTGTTAAAATTAATTATCACAATCTTAAAAATTAGATCGATTTTTTTAGTAAATTCGAGGACTTGAAAGGGTCTGCCCTTGCAAAAGACGTAGAGACGTCTATTATTAAGTGCTTGCTTATGTCTCGTAATTTTAGAAAATGGTACACTGAATTGCGAGTAAATAACGGATCGTTATACACGTTGTATAAATAGCTTATCCTTAGGATATCATGATAGTTCACAATTTTTTTTATTGGAAGACTGGTTAAATTTCCCGTCGAAAATTTCCTACGCAATTCAGCGAATTAAAAAGCCCGCAACTGCTAAAATTTGGGTTCAGAATTGGTCTTGAAGATACTTGAGCCTTACAGAGCAACAGATTTTGCCACTCAAGTGCAATTAACTTTGCACCAACTTTTGTAAAAATATTGTACAGTATTTGTCTGTGGCAGCATTAACAAAACTGAAAGGAAGTTCTCAGCAGCTAAAAATGTTTATTCTACCTTGCCTCAAATTTTAAAATGAATTGTTAGTGAGCGAGAAGAAAATAAATTTTTCAAATGTTCCAAGCTAAATTACAAAAGATGAAAAACAGACCAGGTTAAAAAACTGAATCTCATATTTTGAACTACCAGCTCTAAATTTTGAAAATGAATCATTTGCAATGAAGAATCTTCGAAGTTGGAAGAGGAATATCAAATTTTCAAAGAAGTATGGTGCAAAAAATTATGAAAGCTGGTGCGCTGATAGAATAAACAATGGATTTCACTTTTTTCAGCTATTGTATTTATGGATTTATAATGTTTCTTTTTGTTTCTCCGAATAACTCACCCCAACCAGCAACTTGATGAAAATTTTGATCATGACATTGCGATGCTTTTGCTCATCATTGGCCCACGGGGCCATATGGGTCGGGAATTTGACCTTGAAAAGGTCATTGAGGAGCCAAAGTTCGTCGGTCACGCCTTTTTCGCCGTAGGGATTATGCTCGCCTTCAATCGCCTGTGCTCGCATGGCAGTCGCTTCCCTCCCACTCATGTACATTTGCAGTATCTTCTTGTGCTTTTTCTTCAAATATATCAAATTCAGCGAGTACAGTGATTATTTTTTTCTTCCGCAAGCTGAATAATTCAAGTTATCTCGGTTCAAGGACGTTTAATCCCTTACGAGTCACGTCACCCGCTCGGATATTCAAGAGATGGGATGTACAGTATAAATGTGAACCATTCACCTCAAGTGGCATTTCGTCTGTCAGTCCCATGAGCTCGATGAAAAGTGCAACTAGAACTTTGTAAGTTGGGGCTCGTTTCTGGCCGTGATGCGATGAAACCCCGACGGCTCGACACCCGATCCTCCTAGCATCTCTTAGAACTGCGTCCACGAGCCTTGTTCTTCCTGATCCACTCGGTCCTAATTATTATTATTATTTTTTAGAAAATCCTCATTTTTTTAATCGATAAGGAAAACCAAGCAAATAAATTGGATTTTTTTCTGAATTTCTGACAATTTCCAGGAATCGACGCAAGTTGTAGAAGGGCTTTCTCTTCCAGATAAATATGCACCATTACGTGGTCCACCAATTTTTGAAGGAATTTTTTGCTGAAAATAGGTGAAAAACTACGAAAGCAATTTTTATTTATTTTTTTTTAAAGAAAATCCTCATTTTTTTCAACCGAAAAGGAAAACCAAGCAAATAAATTGGATTTTTTTCTGAATTTCTGACAATTTCCAGGAATCGACGCAAGTTGTAGAGGGGCTTTCTTTTCTAGATGAATATTCACCATGACGTGGTCCACCAATTTTTGAAGGAAATTTTTGCTGAAAATATGTGAAAAACTATACGAAAGGTTAGTTCTTAAATGTAAATCCCAAATGATTTTCGATTGCTTTCAATACAGGATAATGTTTTCCCTACTTGGTTTTCTCATTTTTAATACCGTGGTTGATAAAGCCATTTGAAAAAGAATCATTTGCGAAGAAAAGTTTTCGAAGTATTGTAAGTATAAAATTGATTTTTAAACGTTATATTTAGAAAACAAACTGTAGACCCGTTGAAATTTTTAGTTGTTATGCGGATCAGATTTCGATCAATCAATAATTTCAAGAACAAGATTGCTCGGATTTGTGTCGATTTTATTGTACTGTATCTCGATTCTTTTGGAAGCACTTCTGACGTTCTGACGCCTTCCTAACAAATCTAAAAAGTTGATCATTGACGTTTTTTGCGCAGAATTCCAGAATAACTTTCCGTCTTGACTTCGCAGAAAATCTTTTTCGATCGCCGCAAAGTTACATTTGATGAAATATATTAATGTCCATATATTTTAAGAATATTATGACGAGGAAATGTCGCATTGACCTTCAAATTGCTCGAATCCAACTTTTCGGCATTCGCATTTTTTTCATATTTTTATTTGTTTTCCTCTGAAAAAAAGTAGGGTTCAACGTGTGACGGGAAACCCTGAATATACATATTCGCGTCAGGCGGGGGAGAATTATTTCTCAAAGCGTCGATCGACGTGTGTATATAGCTGTGGTAGCGAAGTAATTGACCTCACTTGCGACAAACCTTCGAAGATGTGAACTCTGGGCCGGGAAACTTTGAGGTGTCCCTGAATGTGGGAAACTTCTCCGGCAATTCGCGAACACTCGTGTATGGCTTGTTCGACGGAAATAAAAATGGCGTTCTGGTTCAATGGTGGGTACAAAAACGACTGGATGGGCTGCACTTCGTCCCTGGACTGTGACAAAAGGCCTATGGAACTGCATGCAGGGGGGGGATTGGGAAACAAAAAAATTATGAAGTCGTTTTAACTTGTCAACTTTCAGCAGTAATGCTCTTGGAAAAGCGACGCAGGGCGATACATTTATTGATGTACGAGGGGTCTTCCATCACTTCGGCACGACCTTGGTTACTCCTATAGATATTAGGGATAACTGTAAAATAATTATAGTGAGACCCCGAGATGCGGACGTAATTGGTGCATCAAGAGTGTCCCCAAGTCGAAATTTCTTTAAGTCGAGTCTTGTTTTCCCATAGACTTACATTATATAATTTTTAATTGGTGCTTTATTGAAGAAATATTCATTAAACTCAATAAGAACATTTGGAGCATTGAATAATAGTGTATCTCTGTGCTGTACACTGACTTTTTGGCATCTATAAAAATAAGATTCAAGTGAAAAAAATGTAGAAGTCCCTCTATGCTGGAGGTAATTTTTAAAATTAGCTAAACATGGATGGAAATTTGGTGAGAGAAATGCCCAAGAACTTTTCTTACATCAATTTTAGGCTTGGAAATATCTGTTTCTGAAAATTTGGCCTGAAATTCATTTGCAATTTTATCACAAAATGTCCCTATGTTGAGTCAGTGTCCTCATATTGGGCCTTATTTATTGATTTCTTCTGGGCAAATAAGTGTCCCTATTGTCCGCAGTTTGAGGTGTCCGCATGTGGGGGTCTCACTATACATCCCTTGTTTTAAGATTCCGACTTTTTTCGGATTTTTAAAAACATTTTTCAATTTACTGCAGGTTGATACAGTACATGAAAACTTTCCAGCAGTTACAGCCGGAGTCCTCCACCCATCTCACAGCTAAAAAAAATATCGGTCAGCTAAAAAGTTAAATTTTTTGTTGTTTAAACTGTTCTCTTTTTTAATCGTAGATATTGATTGAAACCGCCAAGAAATTCCCATTTAGAGCTCGCCTGGCAAATTTTTAGAACCCTGTGACATGAACTCTGGCCATAACTGGGAACTTCCCACTCATCATCACGCAGTAAATACTGTAGAAAAATGTTTAAAGAAATCCTTAAAAAAAATTCGGAACTTTAAAGCCTAAAAAGGCTTATATCATAATTCTTTTGCAGTCGTACCTACGAGTACTCTAGAAATAACCAAGGTCGTGCCGAAGTGGGACAACACTCATATGTTCTATTCCATTTCTTTAAAAAATGAAACGGTTCTTCGAATTTATTAAGGTCTCGGTTATCAGTTTTATTTTTTTTAAGCATTTATAAAATAATCACGAATTCTTGTGCTAAAAAAAATGAATCTGAGGATTCTTTAGTTTGAATTAATTATAAGGGCATACTTGTACAAAAGATTTTGATTTACGCGCAATTCTAAGATGCCCATCAAATATGAAGCGCCTTCATATTTTATTCGGCCAAATTTTTGCACACTAAAAAATTTAATCTTGTACTGTTTTCGAATAAATTCGGTACTATTTTTTTATCGGAAAAATTATACTGAAATTCATACAATAATTCTGGAGATTCATGAAATGAAACGAAACCTCGTTGCTTGTATCCTGCTTTTGAGAGGACCTGTATCCTCGTTGAGCACGAATTGGTACACCTTGATGCTTCCGGTTTTAATCCCCTTCATTTCCTTCGGTGGCAATGGTCGGAATGCGTTGATTGACAAGCCGGATTCATTCAAAGTTTCCTCGTCGCAAGATATGATCCCGGGGTAGGAACTCATTATTCTCGCAGCAAGGTTCACCTTGTGGCCTATCACTGTGTACTCTTGTCGGTACCTGTGACCGACTATCCCGCAGTAAACCAAACCTGGGAATAATTGGGGAACGACGAGGTTGCTTCGGGGGGAAATTGTCAAATTTATTTTCTTTAAAAAATATTTTTTTAGCTATAAGGAATTCTCTTTCGAAAAAGTCGTTGCGGATTGGTGATTTTTTTTTTATAAACGTCCCGATGTTTTGAAGGATCACGTTTTTCTGAAGAACAAAAAACTGTAGCTATATACATAAATCTATGTAAAGAAATGAAAACTTGACTTCAGAAGTTACTTTTCGTAATTTTCTAAAAATCATTAGGCAGGTGAATCTCGTTTGAACGAATAAACGCGAACAACGAAATCGTGTTCCCGCCCAATAGCCACAATCTTAAATGCCTCATAACAATTTTTTTGTTTACAACAGAGTCATTTTACGAGTCCCTATGGCTTCGTTGTAACGAGTTTTTTGTGAAATTTTCAACGTAGAATTTGTATAAAGTGTTCACATAACAATTTTTTTACAACAGAGCCATTTTACGAGTCCCTATGGCTTCATTGTAACGTTTTTTGTGCAATTTTCTACGTAGAATTTGTATAAAGTGTTCACATAACTCTTTTTTTTACATCAGATCCATTTTATGAGTCCCTATGGCTTCGTTGTAACGAGTTTTTTGTGTAATTTTTTCGTCGAATTTGTATAAGGTGTTCACATAGAAAGAGGCCAATAAATGATATTATAAAGGGGAAACATGTACAATAGTAGGATGTAAGGGGATTGCAATCACCGGAAGTGACACCCAGGGAAACAGCGTCGACCCGATAAACGTGGTTGAGCAGCGTGTGAACTTTCCGGGCTGCTCTCAATGACCTCAGCGCAATTTGTGACCTACTGTAGCCCCAAACGCCGAACATGCAGAGAAATGAGAAGCCCTTGTCGAAGGTGCTGAACTTGTTCAGAAGGCCATCAAACGCGTCCATTTGCCTGCTTGAAACAATTTATTGATGCTATATATACTGTAATATGCTTTGCTTTGATGGTGATGAAAGCGACTTTGGTTGGACAAAAGGGAATTAAACTGCAGCATTTACGAGGGCGTGGGTCTAACAAAAGTTCCCGGGATAGCAATTGAAACGATGTGGGATCGGGCTGAAGAAGAAATTATTGTTCAGAATTTGTTTTTGGAACCAGAAAAAATTGGTCCTCTTCGTCATGTTTTTTTTTTTTTTTTTTACAGTTTTAGCAAGAGTCACCCTGTCAGCTTTCTGCTTTTTTCCCAAAATTTGAGGCGCCCATCTTGCGTATTTTTTTCCTGTACCCCCGCTTTTGCTTCAGATTCCTTGGAATCGACGTGGCATTGATCCAAGGGTTGCCTCCGGATATTTCAAGGTCATTCTGTAAGTTTCATCAACAGCCGCCTTTACAGCCACCACTTTGTGTGAGAATGTGGCGGCTGTAAAGTTGGCTGTTGATGAAAATGGCGGAATTACCTTGAATAAGACCTGGGGTCAAACCTTGGAATTAATGCCCTGTTAATTCGAGAATTCGGAAGAAGAAGCTGGGCTAGACCAAAATTCATGCGACATGGGTGTCTCATGTTCTGAGTGAAGAGCCGAAAGCTGCCAGGTCAACTTTTGCAAAATTATTATTTAAAAATCAGGAATTTGGGGAATAATTTTTATAAATGGAGCCGAAAAGAAATCAGGAAAATGGAGGGATCAAATTTATAAAAATGTGTGCAAGTATTTGGTTTTCAGAAATGCAAGTAATATTCTCTTCTAGCTCCCAAAATTGGGTCAACAAATATCTTGAGAAATGCAGATGCTGTAAAATCTCAAAATCTTGATGAAAATGTATAATCTCAATATCTTGAGATTATACAGTGTTGCATAAAGCAAAAAGTGAAATTAAATCGAGTAAGTATTGAATATATTTAGAAGTCTTGTACTGTACTGAATTTTCAAGTAATGCTGCCTAAAAGTTCATCATCGGTCGATCACACTCAACTCAACAATGACTTCATATGCGTGTCCCAGCAGATGATCGTAATTGTCTTCCGATAATTCTTCCAGCTTGATACTGATGAAAACCGTCTGGACCTGACGGATTTCCGACATCATCGACGCTGACAATCCCGTGTCAATCTGATTTTTAAAATTCAAAGTTCAATCTAGTTGCAGAATAAATTTGTCGATTGAAAAAAAAAATCTTGGACCAAAAGATCTCGGTCCTTAGCTTCCAACTTAATTATATTCTTCCCTACTTGAGCAGAAAATTGTACAGTATTTGGAAATTAATTTTAATTCCTAAAGAACAGCCTTTTTAGGTCACTCACGTTCAAAAGCCTGTCAATGAGAAAGAATTAGACAAATAACCTAAAATGAAAAAGGAGGGTTTTGAACAGAACGATATCAATTTTTCAATTTTTTTGCACCAAAAAAATATGTACACTGTCCCCAGGATAGCGTTGAATTTTAATGCGCTCTCTTGTTTAATGTTCCAAATTTCTTGAATACAGTACATATTTTCTGCAAGTGCAGTACTTTTCCCCATACTTATTTAAATACAAGCCCATTAATTAATTGCATGGAAATAAATTCAAATTAATCAATTTTACGATTTAAATCAAACAATTAAGTGGCTTTGTGATGATTTTGAAGTTTATTCCACTGATTCCCACCTGTTTGAGGATTTGTGGAGCAACGTACATCCGCAAGACCTTTTCTCGTTCTTCGCTGTATACGGTGTTCATCACAACATCTCTGACTCCTGCTGAAGAAATTTTTTTTTTCAAATTTCAACGCAAACTTTTAGCGTGCATTTTTAATGAATTTAACTGAATTTTTGAGGTCTCACCACTTGATTTCCCCGAGGGATCCGATTCGTCATCTTTCATGCCCAGAACCTTGGGATGCGGTATTGAAATCATACATTAATATTTGAAGCAACAAAACAGTCACTTGAAAAGGGTTTTCAAATTACTACTCGAAAATAATTTGAGTGGTGCTGAACCATGGCCCTGTATATTTAATCATGCTTGATCTCTACTGTCCTAATAATTTTGTTTTTTAATCCATTTCAGTGGCCAAAAGACTGACTGAATTTCATATTTTGGGTTTTGGCTTTTGTCGTGAATTTTGCACAAAAGAAGAAAATAAACCAAAAATGGTCGTGTCTTACTTGAAATACAGGAAGGGGGGGACATTTCAGTGGCCAAAAGACTGACTGAATTTCATATTTTGGGTTTTGGCTTTTGTCGTGAATTTTGCACAAAAGAAGAAAATAAACCAAAAATGGTCGTGTCTTACTTGAAATACAGGAAGGGGGGGTACATTTTACCAATTACGGTAGTTTCTGCTCGTGGATTCAAAAAATAATGTTTCCATGCCAGTTTTAATGCTTTATTTAAATTTTCCGAAAATTAGCAGCATATTTCAAGTGGCATCACGTTGTAGAGTACTAATATTCAACTTCCCAAGCACAATTTAGCCAACGTATTGATTACTTCGATTATTTTCATTCACATAAAAAATAATAATACTGATGAGTAAGAAGAAGTGTTACTTTATTGCGTGCATCCAACCTGAATTGGCCGAGATAAAATGGAGTCATTTTTTAAAATTTGCATTGCGTTGGAGGGATTACAGATAATGAAATGCAGGTTTAAAAAAATGTTTTGATTCGAGAAATCAATCTAGAATAGGACGCAGTTTTAATTTTTCATTTATCTCTCGAGTAATCTGAATTAATCTTGCAACAGTTTTCTTGTGACTCTTTCACAGTCTGTCGTTTTTCATCAGTCCATTTGATCAATTCTTGCTTGTACAGTACACGTTTTGCTCAAAAGATTTTCTCCCTCATGAATTTCTTGTGAGTTTTTTTTTTTTTTCATTTTGTGTGAAGGTATCTTCCCTTCTAAGCACTGCAATATTATTTCACTGGCATTTTCTATCCTGATATTTTTCATTATTATCTCAGTTGAAATAAAATTTTGAATATTAAACACCTCCTACATGTCTTGAATATTGGCTAGGTTAATCTTGAAACCTTGGTATTATGCCTGTATATAAAGATTAGAACTGTTGATGATGATGCTCAGAAAACGACTTGTTTGTCGTTGAAAGGATGCAATATTATGCCAGTTTTTTTTTTTTTTCATCTTCCACTCACAGAAAAGTACACGCGGTCTTCGTGTTGAAATTCCTGGCAGAGGAAGTTTTCGGAAAGCAAGGCTCGAGCTGAATCAGTTA